CCTCCGCCTGAAACCCCTCCCTGCCATTTACAACCCTCCCCTTCCCCTGGACCCCTCAGCAGAGAAGGCCCACGTCCGTTCAATCCCCTTCCCTTCAAGCCCAGCTACCCTCGGTCAACAACCCTAACCCCCCTTCCCTCACTCTCTCCACCATCCCACCCTCTCCCTCTCTCCCTCCATTTTACAGTGGCCGGGCAAGGACGAGGCAGTTGCAGTGCCCTCTATGACAATAGGGCGCAAGATGTTGTGGAAAGACAATAAGAGCTTTCAACATATACCACGAGGAGCCTACGGACCTCTCCCCCACACGAGGGAAAGCAAGACTTTTGGGAACAGCAGGAGCATGCAACGAGAGTAATCAATGCTGTGCGGCACATGCATCTATGCAAAAGCTCCTCTTCTGTGTAAAAAGGGACGCTGGACCCGATTTCCAGCATGTGCAGCTCCCCACCAATAAGGGCATACTCACACGGGGACCTATAATCCCAAAATCCCAAAAAGAAAGGGGGAAAGGCCAGTCACACGGATCTACCAAATTCGCAAATGTACTATTCCAGTGCCCATTTGTCAGCGGCCTGGGAAGCAGCGGGGCAAGGGACTTTGCGGCCACCTCTGGAGGTGACCGCAAATTCCCTTTCTTTTTTTTTTTTTTTGCATTTTCTTCAAAAATTGGCAAAAATTCGTTCACCAAAGTTCTTGCACAATTGGTGGATGGCGCCGTGTGACCAGCCAAGTACCAAATCCCCATTTCTCCAGACGGCCGCGACCTTGTCCCATCTGAAAACGTACAGCAGTGTGACGTGAACCATTCCCAAAACCTCAAATCGGCCCTTCCCAAATCCGCATATTTTGCGGATTTGGGGTCACCGTGTGAGTATGCCCTAAGGCTGGAGGAGTCAACATAGGAGGTCCAAAACAACAACAACAAAAAAAAAGGATGGCACACATACGTCTATTGGTAAACTGGTACTTGGTCGACGCTGGCCGGAGCCGGGGCAGGTCTCTTTGCCCTGTAGCCTAGCAGGTGGGGATTTTCTGGGGTGCGTCGTGCCACTCTGTAACCTAGCAGTTAGGGGTGGGAAGCCTGGTAGAGATCGCGTATGGGCACATAGGGGAGAGGCGGATAGAGTTGAGCTGCTGACAGGCGCTAAGGCAGGTGGTTTTCAGTCTGAATATTCCCATGATCAAAGGTTTGGGGTTAGAGAACCTAACTTTTTGTATAGATTGCATAGCTATCATCTTTCAGCCGAAGCCGGGTAATGGCGCCCGTATCTCAAAATGTTCTGCATAATTTTCTCAATATGTTCTTGAATCGGACGCTGGGCCCGGTTCCCAGCACGTGTTGCTCCCCACGAATATATTGGAGCATGTCCCTTAAAAAACAAAAAAAAAACAAAAAAGAAGAAGAAGAAGAGAGAGAGAAAAAAACAACGGTCCTTTGGGACATCCATTAAAATAGGAACGATACAGAGAAGATTAGCATGGCCCCTGTGCAAGGATGACACGCATTAATCGAAAAATGGTCCAAATTACAATTTTTCTTAAAAAAAAAGAAAGAAAAAAAGAGAGAATGTCCTCACTTTCCACAAGGAGGCATCACCTTGCAGCCACAAAGCCACCGTGGAATTTGGCCATGGGCCACTTCAGGGTGTATCCTGTAAGCTAAGCTGGGTACTGCTCCTAGCAAGTTCGTTGATCCGCGTTGTTTGGGAGGTTTTAAAAAAAGGGGAAAATTGCATCTATACCCCATTTAAAGATGGAAATACCCACTAGACCCAGTCGCAGCACCCAACTGGAATTCCCATATTCAAAGGGGTATAATTTACTATAATACGCAATTTTCCCTATTACAACAAAAAAAAACAGCAAAAAGCAAACAAAGATCATCTCTTCAGATGTGTGCCCCGCCTGCGCTTCCGAGGTGAGTGCGTCTTTGCACTGGAAAATGATTCCTATTATATATTATATACCTTTTTTTTGGAAGTACACGTTTGCACCATGTTATGCTGTCATAATATTGGCTATTTGTGCCGTCGTTTGGAACTTGGAATAGTCGATAACACGAACGCAAATGCTTTTAGCGGCTATGTGCGGTTGCACTATCAGCTATCGCGTGGTGGGTCCGCCTCGAACATTCGAAGTACATTGGCAACAGTCCTACTATCTACCCGCAGATAGGGCCTCGTTCCACACCACTACAAAACCCTTACTTTGTAAGGGCGCCCTCACGCGAAAATGTGATTAATTTTTCCTTACCCCGTTTTTCGTTCCACAACCACTTACGAAAACCCTACACTTCGTCGCACTTACGTTTCAGGTGCCCCCGTTTGCGCCTAACACGGCCGAGAAGAGAATGCGAGTGTTCGACCCGGTGCGTGTCTGCCACTTTTGGGCCCGTGGGAGACCCGGGCCAGCCATTTCTCACCTTGTTTACGCAGCGGAGTCCAGCTATGGACGGCGGTGGGTGCGATGAGGCAGCGACAAGGAGATTGTCAACCTCTGAGAAGAGCATGGTCGTTAGTGCTGTCCTCCCGGTGTGCCGGTACATGGAGACGGTGAACAGATTGCGGCGGGCGGCTGGGAGGGGTAGGGGGAGGAGGGAGGCAGGCCGCCATAGCCCAGGCATTGGCAGACGTCTGCACGTCGTCGGGTGTATCAGACAAAGGTGATCGTCGGGTGTATCAGACAAAGGTGAACGGATTGCGGCAGGTGGCTGGGAGGGGTAGGGGAGGAGGGAGGCCGCCACAGCCCAGGCGTTGGCAGACGTCTGCACGTGGTCCGGTGTATCAGACGCTCCTTTCCTGGTGTATCAGACGCTCCTTTCCTGTTGTCCAACGGCACTCGCACGCCCACCTCCGCAGGGAGCGTCCACATGCAAGCCAAAACGGCTAACCACAGGGACCGCAGGACCACAGCCGGGCCACCACGCTACCCGTTGGAGGCTACGGTGGGACCGCCGTCCCGCGGAGTACCGGACAACCCAGCCGTTGGACCAGGAATGCGAAGGAAACACCTGATGAAAAAGTAAAAAAAAAAAAAAAAAAAGCGGTTTTTCCGTGGAAGTAAGGGTGCCAGCCCCTACTTTCAAGTCACCGTCCGTTTTGGCTGGGGAGTTCTTACTTTTGTCGGGCTCGCCCTTACGGCAGCGAATCTGAGTACAAATTGGGCATCTTTTTTTCGGTCATTAGGGAGGGGTGGAACGATGAAACCCTTATATGTACGGGTTTTCTAGTGGTGTCGAACGAGGCCCACAGCCGATAGTACGACCGCAAATAGCCCAATACTTTCATAATCCTATCGTCTATTCCAAAAATCCTCTTCCCAAGCCAAGATGGCAATAGTTGTGGTTGTGCTATAAGCTATCGGCAATCGCGCCGATGTACACGCGTTTCGATCGGCTGCGCTCCGATCATCCCCTCAGGGCACTTTCCGCACGTCCATGCCTCACGGCCCGCTGACTGTCCTCCCAAGGAGGAGAGAAGAAGAAGAAGAAGAAGAAGAAGAAGAAGAAGGACTTATCCAATTCCGAAATACTAGAATCTCATCAAGGGGACGTGCAAAAAATTCCGTGAGTTGACAACAGCATAAAGTATATACCTCGTTACCACCAGCACCTGTCCAGAGGACCTCTTTCATTTTTTTTTATTTTTTTTTTATTATTATTTTTTTTTTTTTTACCTCTCTCATTTTCGTTTCGTTTGGTGTGAAGGAAAAGGTGCAAACATACCTCGTTAGCTGGAGCACTGGCCGCCGCAGACTTGCCCTTCTTCTTCAGCGACTTTTTCTTCCATTCGAAGAGGAGATCCGCCAGCGGCATCCCAGCACCAATCCCATCCGCTTCCCCAAACAAGGCCTCCACCCCTTCCTCATCGTCCTCCTTACCAGCAGCCCCTGGGATTGCCCTAGTAGGCTGTCGCCGCTTCTTCACAGAGTTTTCATACCCTAGAAGCACACGAACACGCCTGAGAATTCTCTCGTTCTCCCTCTGCCGGATAGCTATCCTCTCTAACACCTCCCTGTGGGCAGCTTGGCAACGCCGATTCTTCTCCAGAGCATCTTCGATGGCTCCTATGCCCCCTTCAGCAATGACCGCCTCCTTGATTACTTCTTGCTTATCTCCATCTTCATCTCCATCTACATCTCCGTCTGGATCTCGATCTGCATCTGATGACTGATCACCATCAGGTGCTGGAAGAAGAAGAATGGGATCGCATTCCGCCGCCGCTCCCGCCGCCGCCGTCACTGGCAGTGGATCTGACACGTGGACAATAGCATTGTGCGCGTTAGGGATGACTGGATGGCGTTTCCCCCGCTCTACCCCATCTGGATCGGGATCTGCGTCCGGGCGAATCACACCCATGCTTGGACCCCCACCGGCAGAATCGATGGCGTAGCTGGCACCTCCATTGCGCCCCACCTTCGCCGCGGCAGAACCTGTGCCTGCCCTCTTGGCAAATTCCGAATGATATCGTCTTTCAACCACGGAACCTGCACCGTACACGCAATTCCAATAGCGTGTGTGAGAGCTTACGCAATTATAGTAGTAAGATCTCTCTCTCTCTCTCTCTCTCTCTCTCTCTCTCTCTCTCTCTCTCTCTCTCTCTCTCTCTCTCTCGATAGTAAGAGCTCTCTCTCTCTCTCTCTCTCTCTCTCTCTCTCTCTCTCTCTCTCTCTCTCTCTCTCTCTCTCAGACACACACACACACACAGAATACATATGTTTATAGGTATCGTCAGATAATAATTGTATTTGTTGCTATATTTATTTAGATTAGTTAGTCTAGTTATATGTACATACAGAGGCATATTCTTCTGTGACTATATAATCCACCTTATATACATGTTACATGCACGTGCGCGTTGGGCGGGGAACATCCAAAAAGAGAAGAGAAGAGAAGAGAAGAGGAGAGGAGAGAAGAAAGGAAGACGAAACTGAAACGCGCACATTCCCCGACATGCCGAAAAATAGCGAGGCCAATCGGGACGTGTTCAAGGTAAAAAAACAAGTAAAGTAATAATCAACATAGCTTTCTGCACGAATAGTCTTTCGCTCAAACGCGCACATTCCCCGCGACGCGTTTCGCTCAGCGAGAGGGCTTTGAGCGAGAGGGCTGTTCTGGCCTTGCCCTCTAAGAAGAAAAACGGTGAGGAAGAAGACAGAAGAAAACGGCGGATAAAAAAATAAATTTGAAAAAAAGAAAAAAAAGAAAAAAAACAACGGAGGATAAAAAGAAGAGTGGTGACAAGCGGCGGCCATCGCTGCTTTCCATGCTTCGCAGGCACTACGTGTGTTCTTCCGCAGCATGTTCAATACTCGTCAAAAGCGAAGATGAACGACGACGAATACGAGGACAGAGGAGGACGACGACGACAAGGAAGGAGGAAGACGAAGAAGAAGAGAATAGTGAATAGTGAAAACAATGGCCATAGACATTACGTCTCCGCATCATCGTCCTCAGATAAACATTCAATAGATTGCTTCTCGCACATGCTTCGACAGCATAACGACAAACATTACATCTCCGCATCACACCGTTCTCAGTTGAAACGCGCATATACTGTGGATGAGGGAAGAGGAGGTTTCCACAGCCATGCAAAGTCGGACAATCTCCAGCCCAAATGCCGCGAGATAGCATAAAAATCCTCACCTGCATTATTGCTAGAATCATGACCAAGTACACGAGCTTGGCGATCATCAAACGTCGTGACTGCCAGATCCGATTTGTCAGCGCTTCGGCGCTCATTACTCCTCCCTTTCCCTTTATCTCCATGTCTCTCGTCATCCATACGGCGATACCTTCTTTTGATAGACTCCAAGACCTCATCATCATCCTTGTCTTCGTCGCTGTCCGAAGCCCTTTGATGTGATAGTGTCGCGGGCCGTCTTGGGCCCCACCCGATCCCGATATCTGCCTGCACCGACCTAAGGATTGCATCGTCGTCATTCTCATCGCCATCACCATGACCATCACCGCGATCTTCCACATTGGGATCCCGACATTCGCCATCCAAGCCCTCTTCATCACTGTCGACAGCATAACGACCAACAACAGCATTACGCTCATCTTCCCCGCGGCATTGACGCGCCTCTCCCCCACACTCTTCTCTGTCATCCTCCTCTCCCTCCTCCGGATCATCCTCGAGAACAATCACATCATCAGGTACGACCGGGTTCATGCTCGGATGTGATCACAGATGCGTGTATGTATACGCATTAGGAGGACGGCTCCTTCGAAAAAGAAAACTGTGCGTAGCAGCATGTCTGTCTCATTCCACTCGTCTTTGTTCCCAACACCAATCACACAGAGAAGACGACAACAGAGAAATGACAAAACAACGCATCACACATCAAAAGAATCTCTTAGCTCCTCTTCCACACACACACACAGAGCTTGATGGAAGATTTCTTTCCCAGGTATCTTTAGTGATTCGCCCCTCTTTGCTATCCTCCACGTTTTTTTTTTTGTTTGCTATCCTCCACGTTAGCTGTGCTCCTCTTACATCTCCCTCCTCTTTAGCTGCTGCTCCCTTACCTCTCCCTCTCCTCCTCTTAGCTCCCCCAACAAGTGCAGAAGCCAATGCGAGATATAAAAGGCGCCTATCACATACGCACAGCTCAGAAGAAAAAAAAAACAATGCGTCAGATATCGTTTCCCAACTGCTCAATCGTCATCCAATGCTAAAATCGATTTCTTCTTCTTCTCTAAATCTCGTCTTCATCATTCCCCCCCTCCCCCTCTTTCACTGAGATCGTCGATTTCCTCCTTTCTCTGCAACAATCGATTTCCGTCCTGAAAAGAGCACGGACAGGGCGGTCAGATTCATAACAAGCACGGACCAAGAACAAACGACAACTGGGAGGGCGACGATGAGTGACAACACGACACGAAGCGGTCCCACAGACGACGCACACTTCACAAAGTGAACCGTATGATCGATACACGACAAGATCACTCATCAGTGCTTTGATTAGACATATAACACGAGAACTCCGACACTTTCGTCAAAACCGATGTACTGTAAAATCACTCTCATTCGTTCGCAAAAGATGGTGCGAGGCCAATACTACAAGCAGAGAGAGTGAAGTCTGCCGTCCCCGACGCCGTGTTTCGCTCAGCGCCGGGAACACCCTTCTTCAGGGAGACTGTGAACTCGGTCAAAGAGGCTTTTCTTTCTTTCTTTCTTTCTTTGTGTTTGTTTGTGTTTGTTTGTGTTGGTTTGGAAGAAGAAGAAAAACGATGGCGTTGATGACGATGATGACGACAACGACGACCTTGGCAGCGATGGCGACGAGCTCGCGGCGCGAACCTGCTGCTCCCCCCGACGGAAGGACAGGGTAGAGAAGGTGATGGGCCCACCGGGGGAGGGTAGGAAGGGAGGAAGTTAGGGAGGGGAGGAAGAAGAAGCCGCTCACTGGAAGGATGGTTAAGGACGAAGAGCAAGCAGCTCAGCTATGGCACCGTCCCGGGGCGATGAAGATGACGGATGGCACTGGCAAGCACACCCTGCCACGTGTCGACGTCGAGTTGACCACACGCCGACCTTCGGCCGCTGGATCTGCACATTTTTTGGCCTGCCCTACGACGTTGAGCGCCCTGGCAGTACACGTGCACTTGTACAGACTCGAGGCCAGCCGTTCAAAAACTTCCGTTCGGTTCCACTTTGCCTCTGATTCCCACCCATAATTTATTGGGCCTCGTTCTAAATCACAACTAAAGAGTCCAAAGACTGCGCCGACGCTAGTAGCCTACCCCACCGAAGAGAGGAGAGCGGTAACGCAACGAAAGTCCATAGTCTAGTACATGGTCGTTAGGTCAGGGCTATAATCTAGTACGATTGGAATACAGAGGAGTTCGTGGCAGAGCCGAAGGAGAGAGGGGAAACAATGTCAGCATGCGAGGCACAAGAGAAAGAGCAGTGAAAAACACAGAACTTCTTTCTTTTTTTCTTTTTTCTTTTTTTTCTTTTTTTTTTTTTCCTTATTTTTCCCGTTCAACCACCACTATATCCGGTGTAAAGTCCCACGCTTTAGGGTGCACAGTTGGGGCCGCCCGTGGGGCCCTGGCTAATACAAGGACCGAGCATTTGCCAGTAACTGTGCCTCCCTTTTCATCTACCACTCTTCACCCAGAGAGAAATAACCTCCCTTCACCGAAGAGAGGTAGAGAGCTATGCTTGCAGGGGTCCCCTGTATAGCCTTAGGAGTAATGGTAGGTCGTGAAATGAAAGCTATTTTCCATGAAGTGAAATGAAAGATAAAGCTATGCTTGCAGGGGTCCCCTCTATAGCCTTAGGAGTAATGGTAGGTCGTGAAATGAAAGGTATTTTCCATGAAGTGAAATGAAAGATAAAGCTATGCTTGCAGGGGTCCCCTGTATAGCCGTAGGAGTAATGGTAGGTCGTGAAATGAAAGATATTTTCCATGAAGTGAAATGAAAGATATTTTCCATGACATGGCAGAATGCCAGTTCAAAGATATGTGAGGTGAGAGAAAAATATATGGTTGTCCCCCCATGAGGAGAAGGCAGGTTTCAAAAAAAAAAAAAAAAAAAAAAGTCCCACTAGCAGAAAATATGGACATGTTTAGGCAGATGTACAGAAAATCGTGTTGAACTTTCTGGACCGCACCTCTCCACAAACACGTCCAGCTTCGGTCGTTGAGGAAACTCTAAAGCTGGTACAGTAGTGGGACTTGGCCCCCACCCTGTTTTTCCCAACCCTGAATTTCACCTCACGCTGAGTTTTGCCGAGCCTGGGTCCCATTTCGTTTTGTTCTCTTTTTTCTTTTTGTTTTTGAATTCAGCTTCGCTACCTACCCACCTACCACTACTCCTAAGGCTTATACAGTGGACCTCTACAAAGTGCGAACATAGCTTTGTTGTCTCCCTCCAACCATCAAAAGAGTATGGTGGGCCTCGTTCGACACCACTACAAATGTAAGGATTCTTACAAAATCATTGTTCCACCACACCCTAATGACGAAAAAAACGAACCATTTTTTATAATCGCACGACTTTCTGTGTGAAGCTGCTTTGGGGGAACGGGACGGGTTAGTGCGGCGAAGTACGTGGGGATGGGTCGGCTGGGCAAGTTGCATGGATGTCCTCGTTTCTTTTTCGATTTTATCGGGCCAGCATCAGGAAAGGCCCCACCTAGGCAGTAGGAGACCGCGCCTTAGCGTGCGCGAGAAATAATTGTTGCCACAACTTCTTTCTTGTTCTGCTGGGGCAAAGGGGAACGGGAATTTTGGCCCGATGACCGCACGGGAACATTGTTTTTCGTTTTCAAATTTTTCTTTCAACTGATGTCGAGCCCCCGTGGGCTCCTCGGAATTGTTTTTCGGAGTTTTTTTTCAGAATTTCCTTTTTCTGCAATTCGGATTTCGATAGGAATTTAGGAACTTTGAAATTTTTATTGCGCTATGCTTCTTGCTTGCGCGCGCCTGTCTGTGGCGGGAGCAGAGCTCTGACTAAGTTGCGCCCTTAATCTTGAGTGTAACTGTATCTTTTGGCGGGCGCAGTTGTAATTGTATCTCTCTTTTCTTGACTCTCTCACCTTTCTTCCCGCTTTCTTCCTTCCTGTTGTGCATGCATCTTCCCTCGTTTTGATAGGCTGACGCATTGCATGCCTAGATCGATGCGTGGAGAGTGGCTACGACCCCCACATCGCGGCCTGACCATGCAGAACGTAGGCACTTCCCTTCTCTCCTCCTTCCTTCTGTCTTGGGTATGATCCCGGGTTTTTCGCGCAAACACGCATGCTATAAATTTTGCAAGCGCGACTGATTCGCTCTCTCTGGATTTGAAAGCCCGAGGTTAGCACGGTCAGTGAGGATCGGCTAAGAGCAAGTTGGAAGGTGAGTAAAAGTGAGTCGGGCGATCCGACGGGCAGGTGCCAAGTAAGCGGGGTTGACGTGCGGTTCACGACGGATTGTGGCGCATGGGCGAACCCGACGTGCGTGCTTGGACTAAGCGGGGTGATGACTCCGTGTTGGTGCGAGATGACGGACTGTCCGCATCGGAGGTGACGTGGTGTAATGAGAGAGAGAGAGTGTGAGGAAAAGACGAGTGTGGGATCGTGACCTTTCTTTTTTTTTCCTTGTATTAAATTTTGGTATCAGGCGAGAGTCATTTTTTTTCTCTTCGATTTTTGTGCGATGGTGTCGCCTGGTGTGCAACTCTATTCTCCCTTCTCCTTCATTGTTGACGGGTGTGGGTTGAATGCCTCAGTTTTGTTGGATGTGAGTGTCAATCTTGAAAAGTGTGTCTGACCAATGGATGCGCATCATCTTTGCATGAACGAGTGATGCGTGAACGAATGAGGATTCGAGGAATGAATGTCCGTGATCTCACAAGAAACCTGATCACCGAGGAGTTGCATCGTACTCTGAAAGGAATTTGTGAGGTCGGGGAACTAATCAGTCCTTTTGATTTCTTTGAGTATATCGGTTGGATGATGAACCCTTCGCAACCTTATCGATGCATGTTTCGTACGAGATTGCCTTATGATTATGCCCGGAAGCTGTTTCTTCTTTTGATCTGGTAGTTGCATGACGAACCATTGGGGAACCACGGGGGCACCTGAAACGACCCGTCAACGAGAAGCAAGCCTCGCACACGCGCGTGTAAGTACGATCGCAAAGACACGTCTTCCACGCGAGGGCCTATGATGAAGTCAACCCCTTTTTTTCTGATATAGATGTTGAGATTCCCTTCTACGTCACAGAGCGCGAGAGTCTGAGACATTAACGGTTCCGGGAATATTGGGAACGGGAGCGTGCCTATCAATCCCCGCGACCCCGATCCCGCCTCCCCGAGTTCCCCTTCTACGCAGGAACGGAGCTCGTATGTGAATGAGATATTGATCGGGCCTTAAACGCAATTCCCTTCCCACCCTGATTTCCCCACTCGCACGTATGACACGTCATCGCTGAAACAGGAATCGCCATCATCAAGACCAATTATCCTCCCCATCGCCTCATAATCCCCTTTCACTATCTAACAGCGGTCCCTTGGTGCGCGATCGGCCCCTACAGGTCACGGACCCTATGCTCGGAGTGTCAGCAAGACCGTATTTACCGCGCGGCGGGATTCGTCCGCCGGTCCTGAACTGAGGCGGACCAGCGATCGCACAGTCTTCGACTGAGACCAACCTCTCAGACTCCGAAGTCTGCTACAAGCGATGTCAATGACTAACCAGCCAGCGCGACACTCATACCGTCTCGAAGGTCCATCAGATCCGAGACCGACCACGACGCCGATGCTCACACCAATGGTAGCCTTGTGTCCCGAAGCTCTAGCTACCAATGCAACTCGGGATTACCATCTTGCTCAATTCCCCTTCAACTGGCCACAAGGAGATCCTAGTTCCGAACTGGGATTCCACTACAATTTCCTAAAATCCTTGGGACACCCCTCTTTCGTACTTCCGGGACCCCTTCCCACTCCGATCAGGAAGTCTCGTTGGGCGTGAGGTTGGTATCGGAGCCGACACGTGGCAAGCTCGTCGGACTAACAAAAAGGTAGCTAGCATAAAACGACCTGGCGAACAGGGGACGGCCAAGACCACGGAACGCGCCGCGACACAATCCTATAGTAACTAGGAGTAGATCGGCCGCCCGACAAACGGTAAATATGAATGCCAATCAACAAAACCCGAATCAGGCCAATCAGGCTCCGGCTCCGCGAGCTCGGATGCCCGTGGCCCCGCCCGAACTCTACCTTTTCGATCCCGCGCATCATCTTGCGGGGGTATGGCTGGCCACCCTCCACACGCAACAGTACGACAACGATGAGGCTCGGATTAACATTCCCGCTAGATTAGGAGAGGATGCGCTCCACTGGTGCAACACTTACGTTTGGGTAGACCTCTCGACTTTCGAGCATAATTTTCTAAACCGTTTTGATTATATACATCCGGAACAGGCTCTCTTCATGATTAAGGACCGAGTCCAGAAACCACTCGAATCCGTTACCGAATATCGTAACTGATTTTATAGGATGTTCGTCAAAACTGAGCGAGGAAAGCAAGTGGGGAGGGTTTATTCATTGACGGACTTCGCAGTAGGACTATGAGGGCGAAGCTGCGAAATCAGTTCTCCCCGATTAACCATACACTGTAACAAATCATGGCAGCCGCAGAGGAGATGGAACGGAAGTTCGCCACTAGCTTCCTGGAAGGAGAGGAGTATCCCCGAGAGGGGGACTCATCCGAACTACCCAAAGCGAAGGCTGAGCTAGCTGCGCTTCGGAACAAATGCTACTAGAATATGAGATTCGTATCTGGGCTTGTTACCTATCTGGAGCAAATTGTACCTAAAAGGTCAACTCCAAGTATGATAACAGGAATGTCTATCCCTGTTATGGCTACTCCCGTCCCTCCTCCCCCTTCTGAAAGCCCAACTAGGACAAATGAATCAAATGTGATATTGGAGTTAACCAGAACCTTAGTTCGCCTGATACAGGAGAGCAAAAAGAAGCAGCGCGAGCACAACGTCAGGATGGAATCGTTGATGAAATCAATGCGACCCATTACCATCAAGGCCGCGCCGGTGCCACCAGGAATCGTCACCCCTCAACCCAAGAGCGGAGCGGC